GGGGGGGGGGGGGGGGGGGGGGGGGGGGGGGGGGGTGGCATAGGTGCGGGGGATTGCAATCCACGTGCCCTCCTGGCTAACCGAACGGGGGGCTCCGCAAACTGCGGGCGAAAGGGATGCGGCGACGGGCGCCAGAAAAAGCCAGTTGTGTTTCAGATGTTGACAATCATTGGACACGGCGCCACGTACGAGACGAGCCACTGCACAAGAAAACGAGGGTGGGTGTCCTACCGGGAGATGGAGAGGTCGTCGCTGTGCTCTCGGCATGGATACAGGATATTTTCGGGGACCTCCTGATCTGCAGCAGTACATCAACCGGTGTGCGTGAAGCGCTTTATTTGGCACATGATGTATGATAGTCTACGCAATTGCCATACACGCGCCGCGACACGCGATCTTTATCCAAAGTAGTCTACATCGAATACTATCGTTACTGAGATGCAATACTACTCTGTGGATGATACAACGCATTAATGTAGCTAATCAAACGAGCATTATGCAAGTCATGGTAATCGCATTACGGCGAATGGCGGAATCGATTTGACCTCTCTCCAGTATCCAGATATTGCATTCCCGCCACACTTGCGATGATGCTGGTTCCTGCCATGTGCTGCAGAAGTCACACCTTGCGTTCCCCATCTCATCCATTCAGTCCTCCATCGGACCGCAACGCCAACTAGCCCGCAAGAGGGAGTTCTGAAATAAAACCGCTGCCGACGGGTTGGCGTCATGGTCATGATCTACGTGAAATCTGGCCTGCCCTCTCTCCCCCCTCCCCCTGCAAGATAAAATATACTGCTGCTGTGGTTGACGTATTCGTACGTAGGCACACAGCAGTAAGTATGTAGTACAGGTCCTCTTAGGGCCTTCGTTGTCCCCGCCATCCCCAGCACGCCCACCCCCCATGCTTTTGCCGAGGTGCAGGTGCAGAGATTGCGGTGGCAGATCCTTAGTGTCCACCCCCCCCCCCCAAGTATGAGATAACGGGGGCAATGCAAAGAGTGCTAAAGAAGATGACAGAGTGTACGAAAGCGCCGTTGCTTACAAGTACATCGACAGAAAATTGTTGAAAGTCGTGGAGGCAGAGGTGTTGGGAAGACTCCAGTGTCGGGAAAGCTGTTCGCGGATGATGCCGGGTTGTGTCATACGCCCGAGGGACTTCATGCAGACGGAGCGAAGAATGTTGCCGAAAAGTGGCAGATTGTATGCCAACGTTGTGTGCCATGATGGTATGCCATTTGGGTACAGTGAGAATCCAGCAAAGCGTAGGTGGAAGTAGGGTTTGGAGGAACTTCCAGCAGTGGGTTAGTACACATATCTCGGAGTAGAGATCGCGAAAGGCAATACATGGAATGCACATCCTGAATAGCGGAAAAGGCCAAAGCGCGAGCAGGGAAGTTGCACCCAATACTCGCAAACGGGCACGTGGGACAAGCAAATCAAATTGTTTTTTTTTATGGAGCGTTGTCGTCCCGCCGCTAGAGTAAGCCGGAGGTATGGGAAGGACATAAGAGGAGCAAAAAGAGCTCGAGACGCAGATGAAAGCAGCGCAGATTATCCTAGGATGCTCGAAGCGCACTAGTAGTGCAGCAGTAAGGGAAGAAATGGGGGTTCGATCCCCTCGAACGAGAAGAGCTTCAAGAAAAGCCAAATGACAGTCCCGTGTGCACGATATGGGAGGGGAGAGGTTGCCGAAAATAGCAAATAGCTTGGGAGTCGGAGTGGGAATTCAAGGCAAGGGGACGACCCACAGAGTGGGCGAAGGTTGCGGAGAAAGTATGGAAAGGGAACGAAATTGACGAAGTTGATACGTTGGAAACGATAGGCCTAGAGAGGATCAAGAACGGAGGCGGTATCGACTGCATTACCAAGAGGGACGGACACAATGTACAGATTGAAGCCACGGAAAAGGAGGGTGTAGATGTGTTCGGTAGTTGAAAGAAGGAACAGTTAGTACTTGCATGGGCCCTTGGAGGCAGGGTCAAAGCTGAAGGTCAGATCTAGGACTGGGGACATTGAATTGGTCTTCGTGAAGGTAAACCGAGATATAGGAACTCCCACGAAGAAGACGACGACAAGTTCCAATGTGAATGCGTCTCCGAGTGCAACAACCGGGTTCATGTAGTTGCAGAACGTCCGTTTTGCGAGAAAGAGCGAGCTGGGAAAATAGAGAGAAGGTGCAGACCATTGTTTAGGGCACGGAATAGCCAGGAGAAGACGGTAGCGACACTGGGGCATAGGAAGTGGGCTTAGCAGGCGGGAAGTGATAGACAGGATAGGCAAACACCTTTGAGCCACCTTTGACAAAGTTGGAAGGAACTATTTGCCATCGGTGATCGGTGCTGTGGGAACAATGCTCCGCCCTCTCGAGGAAGCGAGGTCAATGGTGAAAAAACTAAGGCATGCAAAACATGAGTGTGTCCCCCCCCGCGCGCGCTCGATGCTCCGTCGTCCCTCTCACCTTTCTCCCGGTCGGGTGGCACCTGATCGATCCTGATCGATCGAGCCGTGGCACAGCAGGACCACGGTGTCGAAACTGTATCCAACACTTGCGGTCGGAGTGGCGAGCCGCCAAGGAGCGAAATATTCACTAAAAGTAGTTTGGAAACCACAACCCCGTCGTGGAAAGCGGACACGCCGGCAAGCAAAGAGAGCAGCAGCAGAATGCCTCCGCAGCCGAAACTCGATGACACGGGCTGCTTTCTCATTTACGGAGTGCAGCAAGGTAGTTATTCGATGGTCGAGGTTGCGCTGAACGATGGGGCGAATGTGAGCGGGTGCGAGGGGTGCCGGCCTCTCGTGATGGCAGCAGTCCACGCGCAGACCGAGATCGCGCAGCTCCTGATCGAGAGGGGAGCCCACGTCAACGCGGGGGTGACCAACGCATCGATGGGCACACGAGAGCGCGTTCCACGCGACCATCTGCTTCGCAAAGAAGATGGACTTGGTGGACCTACTCCAACGGGCCAGTGCTGACCCAAGCGCTGGCAACAAGCTTGGCATCACCCCTCTTATGTGTCTTGCTCGTGAAGAGCCACCGGGCCCCTGGCTTGAGTGGCGCCTTGGAGGTCTTGATCAAGGCTGGCGTGAACCCCGACCAGGTAGATGCCGAAGGCTGGACGACGTTTCTTCACGCCGTGGAGGTTGGAAATCCGGAAAAGATTCGCAGGATTTTGGCACTATCTCCGGCCGCGCTCGGCCGCATCGCGTGGGACGGCATGTTGGCGCTACATGTGGCTTGCAACGAGGGCCACTTGAGCGCGGTATCTTGGCCCCTTTCGTTGGGGACGAAACACCCGAAAACAACAAGTCGGGACCACTGCCCGCTCGCCGTTGCCATCATCAAGGGGCACGAAGACATTGCCAACACTCTTCTCGCAAACCTGAGCGCCGTTGGAGGCGTGGAGTTGGCCGCGGAGATGGCTCCGACTTATGCGATAACCCAGAGCCGCGGGAAGATCCTTCGAATGATGCTCAACATCACGGGAGAGGAAAACGCCCCTGGCGGGAAGTCTGCTACATTACAGCTGCGAATACATCCTTCCCGCCTCGGTGAGCGCGCTCCTGGCCGCCGGAGCCAACGAAAACGCGACCGGCCAAGGGGGGCAGCGACCGATCGACGTCATCGGGACCATAGACCTGCAAAATCCTCCGCTCAGCCGGCTGCACCCGAGGACACCCACCCGGTTCAGGGACCCCGTCAAAGAAGCGGAAATCCGACGGACGGTAGAGCGGGCCCCAGCTTTCCGTGCTTGGTCTTGGGCTTGGCCTGCGTTCGAAGGGGCGGGTTGTAGCACCACCGCAGCTATTTTTGGCAGCAGCACCTGCAATGTGCTCAACAAGGCCTCCGGGCAAGGGAGGAAGACGAGGACACCGTTGGTTGTGCAAATTCACCGACCCGAGAGAAACAAGTTGCTTTCAAGGATCCTGAGGAGGTGATTCGACTTGTACATTTTCTTGCCGTGTTTCGTGCATTGTTGTTGTCTCACTCTGCATTCCTCCTCGAGTTGTGTGTTTGTCTCTGCACTACTTGATTGGACCGTTTCACGAGGGTGTTTGGCAGGTATGTAGCTATATTCCACACACCAACTGTCCCCTCCTTTTGAGAACCCTTCTTCGGACCTCTGTTGACCTGTTGGTCGTATCGTGCGCCGAGAGGCGCAGTCTTGGGAACCTTTGGGCCTTCCAACGCACTTGACCCGCTACTCTTCTTCCCACAAATCGGCTGCCCCTCGCCAGGTTCCCGCAGAAAAGATGACGTTGCAGAACGCCTCCACAGCGCGCTAGGGTCCATCCGCGCGAAACGTAATCGGGTTTTTCAAGGTCCGACATTTGCCATTCCCGTTTTTAATAGGCGCCGACGCCTATAGTACTTTTCCATTCACCATCTCAGCGAGACGAGGGTACGTTCATGGTTTTGGTGCACGTGGTTGGGATGTTTCTGTTAGTTCCAGTACCTTACAGCTTGTTCTCCTGTTAGACGTGCGTGGTGTGACGGAAGGTATGTCCTCGCCTGTTGAGTGTTGCGGTTGGCGTTCGCGTCGAGCTATCGCAGTGGAAGCCTTGCGAGTGCTTTCCCGTATGATATATTACCGAGTTCGTTTTGCATCGGTTCCTCTACTTCAGATGAGATGAAATCGAAAAAATGGAAAAGCAAAAGGGCTCACTGTCCAATCAAAATGGAAATAATATACAAAGACGCACCGGGGCGTACTCGTGTGACATGATCCTCGGACGTTTGGCACAAGAGGTTCAGTTTCGTTGTCAACGAGTTCACCTTCACAGGGGCAGTTTAAGGCCACCGCTGATGCAAGGCGAAGGCCATAATCAAAGAGACTTACGGTCGACTAGCAATGACAGGAACCAACCGGACCCGCGGGTGCAGGATTTGTCCAGAGCAGTACTGATGCTCGGGTGTGGCCTGGAGTGGCAAGGGGCAGCAGCCGCGTGCTGGAGGGCGAACGGCGCTCGGCAGTACGGGTGGTGCTCATGGTGGATGGTTGGGTGCCATTTCGCCTGGCTGGCGCTAACGCGTTCTAGTCTTCTGATTTTCGATTTTTTCCATGTTCTTTCTAGAAGTGTGTGCACCCTTTGTTGGGTAGTTGGCCTGTTACCGCGGGAGACGCCCGAGTCAGATGGACCAGTACGGATACTAGAAGGCACTGAGTAGAGACCAGAACGATGTTTAGTGTGAAGACAGCAACTCTCAAAGGGAGTGGGCTTCAGACGAGACCGGGGGCTGCCCCCCGGCACATGTTAACAAATGCGTCCCCGAAGCCCGGTTGAGACCAATAGATAAAAAAAAGTCGTTCCCGCTGACTACTGCGAAATTACGTGGGCGATCCTTCAGTGCTTCAAGCGCACAAACTTCCGAAAGGGCACGCCCTACAAGACTTTTAACGTTCACACAAATCCAACCACCCTCTCCGAATACCGTATGAAGCAATGATCACTATTCTGGGCGAGTAGCGCCCCGTCCTTACATCTTATGGTACCAAGCACCTACATACGACGAAATTGGTCGAGTCGTTGGCCGTCATCCTTCGCCTTCCCATGAACTCTGAGTCCACAGATGCTGGACGCGTTACTTTCTCAACGCTCGCGATTCGGCAGCTCCTTGTTCATTCCGTTACCGCCCGTAAAAGCGCCTCCACAGACGGTGTCTGTCAAGTCCTTGGTTGCCTTCCTGCAAACTCTTGAGTCTACACATACTGGGAGCGTTACTCTCGCAACGCTCGCGGCGGGGTAGGCCCTTACCCTTTATCGCACGTTACCGTCCGTAGAACCGTCTACAATGACGTTGTCGGTCAAGTCCTTGGCTGCTGTCCCATAGACTCTTGAGTTCACATTCTGGGAGCATTAAGCTCTCAACACTCGCGTTTGAGCACCTCCCTACTCTTTGTTGCACGTTACCGTCCGTAAAAGCGCCTACAAAGGATGCTGTAACACCAGGGCCTCTATTTTCTCTTCCACCCGCCCAGCTGTGCAGCCGCCGTCCTCCATCTACACCTCGCACGTTACCGTCCGTAAACGCGCCTACAAAGGATATTGTAGGCCTGCAAAGGATATTGCAGCACTCGGCCCCCTCTTACCTCTTCAACCAGCACAGCAGTAAAACTGCTGTTACTGTTTAGCAGCGACTTCCATCCACCTCCACCGATAACACGCGGATTGTCTCCACCGAAACCGGCGGGGGAGAAGAGTTTCTTCCTCCGTCAGTGACCCCCCGATCGTCGCCCCTCGGCGAGACACACGGGTCCCCCTCGAGACCTCCCACTGCAGACGTCGCAGCAGCCGCGGAGCCCCCAGATAGTGATGACGACGGCGATGACGAGGCCGCCGGGGCGATGGAGAGTGAAACGGTGGTGGCAAACTCCACGCGGAGGCCGTCGAACAGGAGGACGCAAGACGGCGCCGCCACAGCCTCCCGGGTCTTTCGGATGCTTCGCACGTCTACGGATAGGCTCTCAGTGATGGCCCTGCGTCGCGTTATAGTCGGCGTGCGCAGGAGTACTTGGCATTGCCGAGCAAAGGATTCACGGTTTAACTTGGTCGTACGGTAATGAAAATCGCGTTCCTACCTAGTTTGGTTTTTCGAGTCACCACCAAATGTAGCCTACGTTTCATTTTAAGGCCTTCGATTGGGGTGAATATACCCCGACGAACACGTGACGACCTACAGCGGCAAAGCAATACGGACGTGGGGATCTAGATAGAGAATGCACGTCCATGAACCCCGTTCCTCTACCACATCACCTGCCGCGAAAAGAGAGAGATACAGCACACCCACCGCGTCAACATAGCAACGAAATACTTTGTGAATAACATGTCTGTCATGCCACCCATGGTCAAGACGCAAATTGCCACACCGACCCCGTCCTCTTCCACCATGGGCTCACATCTTGGCCCCCTCGCGGTCTCCGCTGAAAAACCGCATTCGCGGCCCGTCTCCTTTCCTTCGTCTGTCGCTGCACGCCTCCTCCAATTGGACCTCCGCATCGGGCGCCCATTCCACCGTTCGCCGGTGCTTTACCGATGCCTCCACCCAAGCCTTCGGCGCACGGACGGCGACAGACGGTTGGGGGCGGTATACAGCAATGAGTGAGCCCCCCTCACGATAACTGGCCAACAAGGAACGAGAGATGCAATCAAGATCTGTGTGCCTGTGTACAGGAAATAGACTCGGGAGAAGGATTCGTCAACATGTCCGATCGCCGGTACTGACACCCGTGGAACCGCGACCCTTTCTCGTTCTTCCCTTTCTTTGGGACAGCTGGGGCACGACTTCGCGTCCCCAGGGAGTTCCGGCGTAGAGCGGAGCGATCTAACACTGTGCTCTTCTCGGTCGACGAAACGCTCGAGGCAGAGAGCGTTCTGACCTAAAAAGGCGCCACGGCAAGCTTCCCTCGTCCCAGGCCGTCTGTGACTCTGCCGACCACGCCGGGGACTCACCGCCACGCGTACTCCATCGTCCACGTCCCCTGTCCCCCCCGAGACAGGGCCGTCTCTCGCGCGAGGACGGTCGTAGTCCGGCACGTAAGGCTTGATGTCGAAGACAGGCGTGCCGTCCACAAGGTCCACCCCGGAGAGTTTGATGGATCGTTCGGCGGCGTTTACCTCCTCCACCTTTTCGGGTTTATGTGTGTGTGGGGGGCTGCAGCTTGGTATGATATTGGGTACTGGGGGTTTCAAACAACGTCGGGTGCAACCGGCAAACTCACGGTAAATTTCCAAGCGAGCGGGGATGTCAAGCATCGTTCGCTAATGAGCCTTACGGGGGTGTTTACTGTTTGGCACCGAATACTTCCAGCTGTCGCGTAAATCTGGTGCTCTCTCTTTAGCTCCCTGAAGAGCAGCCTGACCTGATGATGACGGAAGATAGGGCGGAAAAAGCTACGCGCTCCGTCTCACGGCAAACAAAGTTACACGACGTGTCCAGGGTGAAGAAGAACCTCGGTGTCGACCAAGCACCCCCGTTCAACGAACTCCTCTACCAGAGGGGTTTCACCTCCCGGGGCAACACCTCACAGGCTCTTCCAACCCATCACCCCGCCTCCCATTGGTGATGTCGCACCTTCCCATGGCCCAGCATGGACAAAACCTACGGAAAAAGTCAACTCGGTGATTTCGCACCTTGACTCGTGCGCGATCCACACATCACCCATGCATACCTTGCAGAGGCTCACGCCGAGGGGGTTTGGTCGGTGCGGGGTTCTCGTCGAAAACACTCCAACACGCCGCTTTAAAAACGGCGGCGAGACCTTCGCCGGAAAAGTGTGGCCGCGGCTGTCCGGGCGCATGCCGGCGTGCGCCCGCGCGTCCTTCTGGTTTGTGTTAAGATGAAACGCCCAGAAGACCCACCTACGTTGCGGGTTGAAGTATTTCGCGAGGGTCAAGCGTGAAATTGAAAACTTGATGGCGTGTCACAGAAGTTGTCACTTCCATCGCGAACCAGGGTTCGAGGGGGGTTTGTGTTAGCGACACCATGTTCGTCCTTCCTGTCGTTTGCTGAGGCCCCGCCAATCTCAACGCCCCAGACGACCTTGCCCTATTTCAACCCCAGAGGAACAACTATCCTGTTTTCTGCGGTGCGGGGGGGGGCAGCGAAAATTAAATTTCCGCGACGGCGAAAGGGCATTGCCGATATGCAGCATTCAAGCATCTGCCTGGGAAATGGTATGCAGAACCGTACTGCGGCAAGAGACAGTACGGCCACTTACACGTGGCTGAATTCCTCCACCCCGTCCAGCGACACGGGCGACACCGACCCTTTGTCNCCGATATGCAGCATTCAAGCATCTGCCTGGGAAATGGTATGCAGAACCGTACTGCGGCAAGAGACAGTACGGCCACTTACACGTGGCTGAATTCCTCCACCCCGTCCAGCGACACGGGCGACACCGACCCTTTGTCGAACACTAGCCTGCCGAGGCAGGGCAGGTAGCAGTGGGCGACGGGGGGGGGTGAAACATGATTTGATGAAGCACGGGACATCTTTATCAACGTCAAAATTCAGGGAGTAAGTAAACTGCGGTGCCCCCCTGAGAGGACCGTGCGACGCGATACACGACGAACAGGTAGATGAAGGCGCTGCTCGGGTGAGTGGACTTGAGGTGGCTCGCTGAGGTCGATCGCGAAGAAGAATATAGCTCGACATACGCGCCCGTAAGCTATGCCCCCCATGAAAACTAGGGCAACACAACAGGTCATCGGCTCCCGATAACGCAAGGATCAATAGCGTCGGGCAAGGGTTTGGATGACTTCGTCACGGCCAGTTACAGCTACAGCTACAGCTACAGCAGCAGGTTTCAACGCTTCGTAGTCTCTACCAGCTAAAAGCTGGCATGCGACACAGGAGACAGCGCTGTAACACTCACGAGGCACGGGTAGACGGGGCGAACTGGCCCTGTCGAGGAGTCCCTGTAATAGGAGCAATGTCACGAGGTACAGGAGGGGTATTGTAGGTTAACAAGACGCCTGACAGAATCGCAGAAATCTTTAGCGAGCATCGCTTTGTAACTCTCCGAGGGATGTGAATGTCACGGTGGTTTGTTGTCCACCCCTCTCGTAGGGGAAAGTTTTCAAATCAGCTGCAAAGGATCAAAGAAGTCAACCTCGTGTCTACCCTTGGCAAAACATCCACATGTTGGTGGAAGCATCAACTCATGGTGTAGTCTAATGTACACTATAGTGAAGGGCCCTAAGAAACGGCAGAGCATAAACGTAACGTATGCCTTGGCGAGGTAGTCGCTACTACAGTAGCATTGCTCTTCCTCTACCGCAAGCAACAAAAGCAGTTCGTACAGCAGTGGTGTCATGCGTGCTGGCTTCAATCGAGGAAAAAACGAACACAGTTGCCAACCAGTTGCGCGGACGTGACAAGATGACAATCACCCCATCCGCCCAACGCAAACGAACGCCGCTGCTGATGGTTGCTGAGTGTTGCTGATCTAGCGTGTATGGTAATAGCAGACCCAACTGAGGTGAACGAGGAGGATGCACGCAGCAAAAACATACCAATCACGAAACGAAGAAATTTGCGAGCTTCATAGAGAGCTAGCTGCCCATGTACCACCACCTCACAACAACCCGGGAACGTTGCGCTCCCTTCATGCAGGCGGTGAGGTCTCGGTCAGGTCAATGTTCAAAAAGAAGAGGACAGTCCCTTAGTCGAGAAGTGCTGCTGTTCGTCCCGGGATGCACCGCCAGGAAACTCCCCTCTACGTGCCAATTGCACTGTTCAATATGTATGATCAAATGCGCGCAACGCCACTACGACCTGCACATGCTTCCGCAAGCTGTCGTTTGACCTGAGGCATGGACTCGCTCACCAACACACTCCGTGAAACAAGAGTGCACCGTTGCAATCGGTGCGAAAAGCAGCCCGCCGTCCGCCACCATTCGGCTGGTAAAAAATGCCCTGAGCTCCTGCAATAGCCACGAAAGGGGGGGGGTAATTCCGGGGTCCTTCAAGACTCGTACTAGCTGGCACATGCCGCCAAGATCACCCCAGAGGACGCGACATTTTTCAGAGTTCCAGGTGCTCTTCATACCGCGTCGACACGAATCTGACAAACGTTTACATGTCAAAACGAGTGCGATAAAAACAAAGTCGATGTCTCAGTGAAGCAGGTGGCCTCCTCTGCAAGCCCAAACGTGGCGATAAACCGACGGAAGCTCTTGGTGGAATGCATCGCCATGTTGCACCCCAGGTGAGACAATCAAGCTTGCCGATGGGGCAAGCCCGGCAGCAAAAACGCCAAGAACCGGATGCCCAACGATACCCAGGGTCAGAAAGTACACCAGGGACGTACGTCTACATGTAGGGTGGCTGAAGCACAACTCGTCAGGTGGGGTCTGGCGGAAGGCATTCATAGCAGCCACGACCACCATTCGCGTTACCCACCCTGTTGGAATATGCGCTGGGCTGCACTCCCTAAAAGCTTGCACTCACGTATATCAGGTGCATGTTTGCTGCATGTTTCTACAACCTGATGCGTCTGCTGCATCACCGCTCACCTTCTCTGCCTTCATCCTCCCAGCGTGCTCCGCATTCCTTAGCTCCACCTGGCGCTGAATTTCCTTCTCTAGTTCTGCCAGGCGTCTCCTTCGACTGGCACCGGCCACCACAGCACAGCAGACAAGTACACAAGCGGTAGCGCATCCTCCGATCAGCGTCGTTGCCGCTGGTGTTGTCGAATGTCGTCCGCCATCGACCATTCAGACTACGTTAGAATCAAGACCCAAGGCACCCCCGAACAATTCACGGATCTCTCAGATGGAACCAGGGTAGGGGAGAGGAAGCAGATGGACGGATAACAGATATGTAGACAAAACAGAGCGACCGGACCAGACAGCAGCAGTGCAGCGCTGTCGCTCGTGGACATCCATGATGATCATCTCCCTGCCTCGTCTGTCACACCATGCACGCCTCCCTGCATTTTGTTTTTGGTTGCCTCCTCAAAAAGCATGGACAGTCCCGTGGGGAGCAAGCAATACTGCTGTACGGCCTTCGCAAGAGTCAAGAAAGCCAAGAACGTTACCCGGAACGTTGACGCTTTCTTCGCGACTCTCTGTTCCCCGGTCTCCGTCATGTGCGATTGTACCTGGTGCGTAACTCCACGTTTTGTTGTCTCACCGCCGCCGCATTGTAGTGCATGTCGGCTTCCTCTGCATCTTGTCAACTTTACACCAACAATTCGAGCAGCCCCGGCGCTATCATCCCATCATCACAGGTGGGTGGGGGTGGGGGTGGTTTGGTCCAGCTTCCTGATCCGACTCTGTGTGGCTACAGCCGTAGCGCCTCGGGTTTCCTCTCCATTCAGCAGTCGGGCAAGGAGAGAGAAACGCATACTCCGGGGTTACCGTGCAAGATTGGGCCTTGATGCTGTTACGTCGTAACCTGTTACGCCGTGACTGCTGTATTGCTGTGCTCCCGCCACCCCCACTTCTGTTGTTTCTCCGTGTTTGTTGCATCGAAAGCGGGAGAACATACATTTTGAACAGTAAACAGCAAGTCCACCCCCTCTTTATCCCCGTTCATCAAAGCGAACGAGAAAACAGCCAAGCACTGCTGCTGTTCAAAGGATTTATCAAACATGTGAGCTTAATCAGGGGTCTGCTGTGTCGATACGCGTGCGAGCCTCATAACTTTTGGCTTGTCGGCTTTTATTGTCGACTGGTTGTATGTGTGGTGTGAGCGCGCTCTGCTCACCTACCTCGGCCAGGTTGCGCATGTTGAGTAGCTTTGTGCGTCGGTGCCTTGGCGCGCGGGGTCCCTCGGTTGGGAAATAAAAAAGCCAGCGGCGCGGTAGCCGCCAACGGTACAGTGTAGTTTGTCTTTCTGTGCGTGTATTTATGTCTCCTTAATTAAAACTATGATGGGCGTGACAGCCTTCTACTTTGGGATGGAGCGTGATAGCTTGGGTAGTATCTCTGGATGTGGCGTGGAAGCCTGGTGACGTGATAGTCGTGGTGTATATGTATAAGAAACGACGTGGATGTCCGGAAGGCGTGATAGCCGGGTGGCGTGATAGCCAGGATTGGCGTGGAAGTCGTGGCGTGATAGCCGTGGTAGCGTGATAGCCGGGGAAAGCGGACTTGATTGCACACAGGAAGGAGGAAAAAGAGGAAACAAAAACAAGTGAGAAACCACAACGCACGATCACCATATCCGTTGTAGAAACACACATACCCCCACCGTCAATCCTGTAATATGCGGCAAAGTTGGTACCATCCAATCGAATCCAAAGCAAATGCTGAACCCCCAAACCCCCCGCTCCATCTGCTCAGAAATTTCTTGCTTAAAATAATCTGTCGATGCTGTGAGTACGTCTAACAGCCCCCCTACTCGCTGCATTGACAAGACCACACCCGGACTTTAATATACTATCCATATTATCATCCCATACATACCACATTCCTGACCGAAATGAAATTTAGTGCAAGACATTCCCTTCATCCCAAACTGCATTCTTGTCACAACACTAAAACCCTTAAACCAGAAACATTCGTTAGAATTCCTATCGGTTTGCATTGTTGCCAACCATTAAACCAGAAATACTTGCGACGATTTCCACCGGTCAATCTTGAACTCGATTTCTCAGAAAATCAAACAAATCAACACGAAAAAACGAAAATCGAAAGAAAAAAACAAAAGACACAAGACCCAAAAACGAAAATGATCTCCCGGACTATTCACTTCAAGTTCATCACGTAGTCCCGGTGGGAAACAAACTCTCTCTCAGGTAGCGCCTTCGTGAGGAAGTCGGCAAGCTGATACTTCGACGCTACGTGGATGATCTCTACCTCCTTCTCATCTACGAGCTGACTGAGGAAGTGATGCCGCACGTCGATGTGCTTCGAGTTGGAATTCGAGATCTGGTGTTTTGCGATCTGGATAGCCCCTTCGTTATCTTCATACAGTGGAATGCACGGCCGTAACTCCTTAGGCAACATGAAACGCCAAACCTGCCTCACAAACAAAATCTCCTTCCCCATGTCCGCCATCGCCACGTATTCTGCCTGCGTGGTAGACAAAATCGCACACTTCTGAGTCTTGGAGAACCATGCAATCGCCCCTCCTGCACACATCACTACCCCTCCCGAAACCGACCTACGGTCTGCCGCACGGGAAGCGTAGTCCGCGTCGACAAACGCAATCAAAGAAAATCCCTAAACCGTCCCCCTCTGAAAAGAAATCCCCAAAGAACTAGTCCTAACTGCACACCCTAAATTGCTAAGTGCAGCCTTCCAGTGGATCAACTTCGGTGCAGTACAGTACCTCGCCACTGCTCTCACCGAATTCGCGATATCTGGCCTAGTCAACAAGGCAATCNCCCCCCCCCCGGTGTTTGCCATCGGGGTTGGGTTTTCGTCGATTGGCAACGATGTTGTAAAACAAGCCGCCCCTCCGGTGTTTGCCGTCGGGATTGGGTTTTCGTCGCTTGGCAACGACGTTGTTTCACTTCGTGAACTCGGCAACCAGGTTACCGCTTTTTTTTTTACCTCCGTTGTTTTTTTTGCGGTAACGATCATGGTGGTCGAGTAGACCATGTTGTGCGGGGTGAACCCTCACTCCGCGCAAGGGGGATGATCGCACCACGTTGTGTT